AAAAAGTATTGAAAAAAGTAGAGAAATAAAATGTTTTTGGATATATATATATATATATATATATATATATATATATATATATATATATAAATAAATCGTTTTTTTTTTTCTTGACTTCTGAATTCACCCAATTAGTAAACAAAGTCCAGCAGTTCTGTGAAGTCCTGAAATGTTTGCTTGTTGTTTGATTATTGGGAAACAAAAATCATCATAAAGGGCCAAGCTACACAGTCAGGGATCAAGCGGTGGAGAAATTCAAAGCAGGGTTAGATCATATGATGGTATCCTATGCTATGAGTTCTAATCAATCTATTATCTGAAAAATGAAAGATGTATGGCTCAGCTGCTTATGCCTGACTTTTTTTTTTTTATCTGCTGAAAAGTCAGAGTACAAAAACCACCAGCTCTCTTTGTCACGTGTTCTTGTTAGCCGTGAGTCTAATCGATGTGGGTAAAAAACCGAGCACATTTCCAACCGAGGTGTCAAAGCTTGAGTAAATCTTTTTAGTGGTAGCTGTAGATATGCTGGGTGTCTGGGTAAAGGTCTGTGCCATCCTCTTTCTCTGCTACACTGCAGGTAAGCCTAAGAAGAGTGCATAGGACCCAAAAAGATTGATTTATCATTTACTGTTAAAGCTTCATAACTTTTATAAAATGGTGCTCTTTCCATTTTTTATATTCAGAAGTGAAAGTGGTGGTTTGGAGAGAAGTTGGGGAATACATCACATTCCAATGCAGAAGTAAATCCAGTCAAAGTTTTCTACATTTCAAAAGGGGCCTCAGGCAGGAGACAAGCATTGTTTATGCAGAAAAATCTGCACAAAAAAAACCTGTTGTTCGAGGATTGGTCGACAGAGTCCAGATAAATGGAACATTCCCCAAGATAAATATTCTTCTTAGAAACTTGGATTTAAATGACACAGGACCATACTGGTGCATTTATTCTAAAAACACATATAAGGAGATGGTTACAGTGGGCGAGGGATCAGTGGTCCTGGTGGTAAAAGGTAAGAGTAATATTTCTTGTAAGACACTGTTGCATTTAGTTAAAAAATTATGTTTTGCACAGAAAATGAAATATGATGAACAGTAGGCTAAGGGTCTGTAACACGCAGGTTCTCCAGAATTAAATCACTTTTAGCAGTGATGTAAATGCATCTCGTTTTATTAGCCGTACACATTACCATCAGACATTAAATAAAATTAATTATTTTTAATATTACTTTAATTATGCAAGTTTAAAGTGACTGTTTCTTTGTTTTTTGATCTTTCTGTATCCTAACAAACTGTTTGTATTAATTCTGGGCTTCAAACGACAAACATTGTTGTGATCTCTGTGTCTAATTTAGAAGAAAACTCATGTGCCAGAGCAGAAGCAGTGCAGGACCCCGAAGAGCCAAAGCTGAACATGCCTATGGTGTATGCAGTCCCTGCTACAGCCCTTCTCCTCGGGATCATATTAGGCGGTTTCATTTGGTTTAAGCGCAAGGTTGAATCATCACTGCTTTTCCTTTTTAATTGATCTCTTTCTCTTTGAGTGAACAGTCCTGTCGTCTCATAAGACTACTTTTCTTAAAGATTAAGCAATATTTTATATGTGTATATTTCTGGAGATAGAAATATTTCTATCTATGCATAAGAATCTATGATGAGAACTGTGCAATTAACTTTTAGATTCAATATCTTCAAGAAGCTAAGAAAAATTGAGAGTGCAACACTTTTAGCAAAGAGAGTGTAGAGTAGTGCAAAGTATAAAAAAAATACAATCTAGCATGTATTTTCATGACACTACACAAGACAAATATTCTTTTTTTTGTCGCTTATTTGTGACATATTTTAATCATTCTTTACACTTTTTTATGTATTTGCACTTTTAATTCAGAACTGTTTCAAAATTTCTCCAGTTTTTTATTACATTGTTTTTGTGTTTTTTTTCTATTCCGAATGTATTAAAATTAATTTAAGAAGTATTAAAACCAACTTTTGCTGATGAACTGCTGTGAGATCAACAAATGTCTTGATATGTTCTAATCTTCCTACAGACCAAGTCCTCTGACATCACAGTTGAACAGACGTGCGTTGCCACCAGCACCAAGGTTTATGAGGACAAAGAATGTGTCAAGGCTGAAGATGAAGCCGAGGATGACAGCTTGAGTGTGCCGCATGCAAACCCGACTGAAACAAGTGACACCCTGGACCACAGCGTTAAAAGAGATGCACGTTAAGTAGTTTTGCACCCCCACCTCAGACCATTAACAGTTTCCTATACCCAGTTTTCTTGTGTGCACAGAAGTGGATGTTGGTGCCAAATTTGAATAAATGATGCTGTCAAATGTAAAAAGGGAAAAGATCATTATCATGTTAAACATTAGAAATGTATACTTGTTTTATCTTTTATGTGTAATTTATCCTTTTATATTCTAAGCTAAAAGAAGGTTTTTTTGCATGATGTATACTGTAAACATTATAAAAATATTTAATCAGAGAAACAATATTAATAGATAATAATACACTTAAACATTTAATGCAGTGACGAATCATATAAAATAAACCATTATCACGCACTGTTAATCATAAATAAATGCTCACATTCATAAAATGGACAAACCAGTCTAATGCGTGTGTAGTTATAAATTATTTTTTTGTACACTTGTTGCTATAGTTCAGTCAAACTCAACATGTTTTTAAGGGACTAAGATAACTTTCTATAGGATAATGTTTTTTATTGTGATTTTTAATAAATAAATTCTTGATTTTCTTTGCTTATTTCTCATTTGTAGTTACTGTACTACATTGACAATGATTTGTAATATTTGGGCCTCATTCTGCCACTGATTCTGTAAAAAGGACCCAAATCAAGACACGATAAAATGGAGATCATAAGTCGAGTTCACAGGTTGGCTATATGTGTTAATGTCCTAAACTTCAGCAATAGTAAAAAAAAAAACAAAGGTAAATGATGAAAACACTGATTTTAACAAATTGTCTCAGGTCAGGAATGGACGAAAGAGACGGTGGGGAAGAATTAGACAATAAGAGAGAAGTTTAGTTGCAAACTAAATTTTGGTGCAAATTAGCTCAGAGGAGGGAAGCGGGATAGTTTTCGAAACACTTGTGAAGAGCTCAAAACATTTCTAAAATGTAAGGATAAAAACATACATCTAAGCCCAATAGCAGTGTCTAGAAAACTAAAGAGGATCATTATGCAAAAGACTAATAGATGTAGAAGTTTGTTGGTTGTTTCGAAAAACAAAATCCTTTATATTGAAGACATATGTTGAGAGGAATGAAAGGAGGAGGAACGTCATTAGAGAAACAGACAAAGGGATTAAAGTCAGGGATTCCTATTAGATAAAGATATGAAAAACCTGCAAACATATAAGAATTTTGACAAAGATTAAAGGGTCATAAGTGAGACATGCTACTGGAATACATGGCTAAGTGAAATACAAGGATATAAGATACTAAAACATGCATTGTTATTTATTTGGAGCATTTAACATAAGTTCAGAAGAAAAAGCAAGAAATGTGTGATAAATATGTCTCGGAACTCAGAACTGTGGACCCAGAATTTCAGGCAGACAGACTGATGTAATTTAAAAAAGTTTTTATTGACAACACGTCGAATCTGCGACTCAGTAGCTAAAGGCCGGAATCTCTGTAGAGAAGAAAACTCAGGATAGTGACCACGTAAATCTGACGGAGGAATAAGAAACATGTGAGTCACTAACCTGGTTTTAAAATTCAGTCCAAGCCCAGAAGAAGGAGTGGAATTCAGCCAGATGATTTTCCACAGCATGCGGTGGACGCTGTCCAGAGGGTTTCAGGAGCTGAAGCCAAAAAAGCCTCTGAACTGGCTGAGGACCAGAAGCAAGCAGACGAGGGAAAGCAGGAGTTTCTAGAAGGTAAAGCCAAAGCCGTTGTCGATGAGGTAAACAGGAGTCTAGGCCAGAAGATCAGAGATCTGAAGAGGTACCAAAGGGAAATTCAAGTCGGGGTCAGGGCACAGATCCAGGGTCATATGCTGGCAGAATCCAGCAAGAGGATTGAAAAGGGATTTTTGAGTGTTTAGGTTAGGCTTTATGCCCCTACACATTTAGATGTTTTGCATATCAAATGGTCACAGTTTTACTCCACTCTGCAGCTCAGTCAATAAGACCTGGTGCGCTAGTGTGAGTTATTCCTGTCCCTCTTTGGTTGAATCAGTCTCATTTAGAGGAATTAACTTCCTCAACTCCAATAAATGAGCCCTCTATATTTTTTAAAATGTAACCTAAACTTGGATATGGTATTTTCCAAATTGATAGAGCAAGACAGGAATCCTAGATTGAGATTTAAGATTTTGCATTTACTTACATATATGGGTGACCTCTTTATGCGAAAATGCTCTTCAATGGCCTGTTCTGTCACACACTTATGCTACTTCTAGCTCCATCTTTGCTGAACGATGTAGATATTCTGTAGCTTTGTACAATATAACACAGTAGTTTGATTTTCCTGAAAAACTTAGTGCTCTGGTGCACCTACAGACAGCATCTCCTACCTTGTTTTTTATTCCACCACAAAACTTTCTGTTGTGTTTTAACCTGATTTTGAAAAATATATAACAATGTTAGATAACTTATAAATTACATATATCCATGTACCTTTGCTTCCCAAAACCGTTTGACTTAAGATTAGGCTTTCATTTCCATGCACAAACTGACTAAAATTATAATTAAATCCAACTGCAGACCTTATTTTTGTGAAAAATAGGTGAACAAATGCATAAGACTGTTTTAAAAAGGGAGGAAAAATCTTCCCATCTCAGATGCTTCAAATTTCAGTTCTAATGTGAGATAACCAGAGGTGAAAGTTGGGATGTAGATGCATGGATAAACTGGTTTTTAAACAGAGCTTATTCTCATACCATGACAACCTACAGCAACATCCTCATCTCTGCACCCTGATTGTGACCAGAATCAGGACTTTACTCTAGACACATTTTCAGAAATTGACCCATAGAAGTATCCAATTAGTCCACAGATAGATAAAACTTCCTTAGTTTTGATGAGAACAAGACAGTAAGTCACTTTTACTTTTTGGCCACAAGTGGGCAGTACAAAGATGGTTATAGAGGCCCTCTATAACCTATTTTAAGGAAGACTATTTAACCGTTATAAAATATATAACATTAATAAAGCAAAGTCTCTTTCCACAATGGATGCCTTTAATAAAAATAAAATAGATTTCACCTCTTGTCTTTTTATTTTTGGAACACGACTGGTCTGCCAACATTATGGTGCTTTGAAAAACTATTTTTTACCTTGAATTTTTTTGTATGTCCTCTCCTGCTAATCACATATTTTGATCTTTAATTTGTTTTCATGTGAAAGAACAAAGGGACGAAGTGTGTAATTATGCCCTTATGAGACTTCTTACTCTAGCTTCAGAAGTCACCTAAATAAAAAAGTGAGTCAATCTGATATTGATGGCTGCAAACCTGCCATAGCAGTAAAGTTTTGAAGTCTGAAAACTTGACCGTGTTTTTAATTTAACTAAAAAAAAAACACTGAATGAAGTTTGGTCACATGTAATAATTAAAGTAAAAAAATAAATAAAAAAAAAATAAAAAACCAGATACGCCATATTTAGTTTATTGTTTCTTTTTAGCTCTCAATTAGCCTGTCAGCTCCTGCCATTGTATACCAGTATATTTATTAAAGGCCAAATGAGAAAACTGTAATTTTGATTTCTGTTTACCAAAGAAGTCAGAAAATATAAAGTGGGAAAAAATGTTGCATAGGAAAAAAGATCTCAAAGCCTTTTAAAAGCTATGTTGTGTCTTTGTCACAATATATGGTCTTGTCTAACCCATAAACTACCCTAGCCCTGCTCTTTAAATCCTAAGGACAGAATAAATAGTGTGAAAGTGAGGGTAATGTAACTGAGACATAATGATTGATGAAGAAAGAAATAATGAAAACCTTTCAGTTCATATCCTTTATATGAACTGAAAGTTTAAAGTTTACTCGTGCACAGAACAACTTCAAAAGCAGAAGTAAAATGAATAAAGATTTCTTCTGCTTTTCTGTTGAGAGCTTTCCTTGGTTAGTCTTGTTTGTGTGTTGCCTTGCACTTTCGAAAAAGATTAAAAGCTCTCACGCAGCACTTCTACTTCCTATACCAGCTGCTTGCAAACTCTCTTCACTGTAGATTTTATTCACCGATAAATGAGGGTTGACAAGTGATGACGCTGACATCTTCCCGCCCACATAAAAAGGTATTTTTTATGTAGGTCATGCGTTTCTGTTGGCTGTCAAGTTAGAGCTTGTTGAAGACATTTCTGTCTGTGGTGCCAGAGTTGGTCTGAATTTAGCATAAACGAACCATTACCATGTCTGCCATCTGGCTTAAGTTCTCTACCATCCTATGTCTCTGCTGCACCGCAGGTAAGACTCAGTCAAGTAA